GACCGCCGCCGCCCGCCCACTACCGCTATATAAATGGTCAAACTAGTTTGACCAAAATAGTGTTTTCAAAACACATTTGAAAAAGAAACACAATGGCATGATGTTTTTTTACCTAAAAAAAAAACACACATTGATTACCAAACACACCCTAATATATTGTAAATGTTAAAATTTAAAGTTACGGGGCTTACACCCTACAACATGAAGGGTCTGATGTTTTGCCTCGAGCTTCTACCTTTTTGAACATTGGTATTTGTGTATATAGAGTTAAGTTAGACTACTATTAATAGTATCCGACATGTGGATACTATCAACCCAATTCTAAAAAATCGGAATCCAAAAATAAAAATCCAAACAAGTAGATGTGATCTATTATACATGAACTAGTTAGAAACAAAATTTTTTAAGTGATTTCGATTATATATATATATATATATATATGTGTGTGTGTGTGTGAGAGAGACCTCCACTTTGGAGCTGTAGTAGCTTCTGATAAAAAAGGAAAAAAGAAATTTAGAAATTGCACTTACAGGTATCTTTTCTTTTGGAGAAATTACCCATAACATCCAGATTATCAGCAACATCTCAAAAGTAATAACATTCTCCCGCTATCATTTAGAAATTTAGTTTACTAAAAAACGCTTGGTTTTCTTTCCCTTTATCTACTACCAAATGAATTATTTAAGTATCTCCAAACCTGATTTGTACAAACTTTATTGATAAAACCTAATGAACAGATTCATCATGATCTTAGGTGTGGAGGAACCTGTCTCTTGGCAAGTGAAAATTGTGGCATTACCGTTAAATAAGCATTCACGCATCCTTCTAACTAAAAAAAAAAAAAATAAGAGGAAAAAAGACGGGGGCTAAGTACTGTGGTTACAGGAAAAAACAATTTTTTATTTGCTTCTCTCACTAAATCTCTGATCATATATATTAGGCTTTTATTTGCGCTTTGTCGTTGATTGCTCCAAAAATTATAAGGGCATTAAGATTTCGCAATGGTTTGATGCTCTTGGTTGATAATGTCTCATATACTATCTTCTCCAAGATTTCATATCCATAAACAAATAGATCATCGCATGATCTTTGTATTGGCGATTTCTTGTCACAAGATACTGTGATAATGATGTTTTAGGACAAAATAACATATCGCGATAATAATTAATACTTCCTTCCAATATTTAATTTCAATTATGCTTCCTTAATGTTCGTTTTTTTCTGCCTGTGTAGGAGCAGTGTCTTCTAGTGTTCTAGCTTGACTGGAATATGTCCTGCTAATGGCTAGATTTCTAATTTCACTTCCCCTAAAGAGATTATGGGTCCATTTACACTTTCAAGTTTTTGCATATCTATTTGTCCTTTTCTTTTTTCAGTAATAAACATCTATCCTCCATTCCTCCTAAAAAAAATTTGCTATATCTGTCAACCTTCTGAGTTTCTTACACCTTATATTCTTCATTATCTCCAACTTCATTACAGAACTAAGATCGGAGATTTGAGGATACAGCCCTGGTTTTATGACTCTGGTTATGGGGTGACGACATCGATTCTATTTGTAACTTTTTAAAGTCAATATTTTCCTAATGGGCTTTTTCATTTGTTCAGTTCTTATTGTTACTCGTGATCGAGAACAGTTCCATGGATTGAGATTTATCCTAACATATTGATTCTAAGACAGGGATGACGACGCGAGGGAATTAATTAATTAATCGACCAAATCACGATTCTTTATAATTATACCATTTTTATAATATAATCAATGAAGATCTTGACATCATGAACATTAGAAACTTTGTCAATTTGATTCTTGTCCGCTACAGTAATGTGACGATGGGAGCTAGAATAAAGATTTTGTTTATCGTTGTCTTTTTCTTGCAAATAGCATGGTATCCACGAGTGTTAAGATGACCCTTTCGTCGCAATTATGAGCATCAATAAAGCTATATTACAATTTCATATTGTTAGGGTCACCTTACCTCACATGGCTCAATGAGTGTTTTTTGATTTTTAGCTGATAATAAATATGAACAAACTATTATGATCGTGTATTATACTATTATCCTTCATATTGATAAAAGAAATAGCTTCACAATTAAGCACTGAGAATCCTTGCATGTAAATAACAACAACAACAACAACAATAACAAATAATAATAATATTGTCATGAGGTAGGTATATCACTATATTGTTCTTCCAATAGAAGTTGTACTACGGTATGCCAATCAATGCTTCAGCTAGCGTGTATACTGCATTGAACTGTAGCAAAGAATCTAAACAAAATTGTACAAGCCGACATTCCAAATAAATGCTACAATAAGTTTGGTTCCTCGAACTTATATATAATATCTCTTTATTTAATAATTAGGAAAGGACCGGCCATGGGAATTGTCCGTGTTATTATTTTTCTATATATGGTTAACTCTATTGTTTTTCTCGCCCTCCGCTTTTTCTTTTTAGTACCCAAACGGGTCAAACCCCAACCCTTTAAAAAGGGGAAAATATAGATAATTGCAGTCTCCTGTACATACAGATAAATTGAAATACCATGTAAACCAAGTCATTGCTGGTTTATTAATAAACAATCTTAAAGCTTTGTGGACGAACTTTATTCTCACCTGACGATCATCCAGAATTGCTAAGTTCGCACTGAGTTATGATGCTTCCTGCAAGTGCCAAAAACATATATAATACAATCTCTAGTCTTTTTGTTAGTGTGTGTGAAGTATGGAGTTCAAATTCTTTCTTCGTTAGGCTTATTATGATCTCAGGAGAAAGAGAAGCTGAGCCGCTTGAAACGAGTTCATCTTTGCATGAGCCGGTCTGTAACTATTAAAGTACTCATCTGGATTGACGTGATGAAGTACTTACATCAGCCGACAATATCATTTGAATTAATGATAGCTAGAATACATGAGTTTTATTAGTCTTTTACTACCTGACACAAAAAGGAAGACCATTTCTTATAAATCGGAAAGAAAAAAAAAATATAAGTTTATATAAGTTTCTATGGACTGTTTTTTTGTGCCTAGTAGTTATATTATATCTAAAGGCAATCTTTTCTAAATATTTTAGACCTAAAAGGATTGGAAGTAAAACAGGACTCAGATTATTTCACTACCAAAAAAAAAAAGCGAGGAAAAGACCGTCCGTTCTATCGTTGTTTGTTATTTGGCTAACTATTATAATTTGCTTCATATTTTATCATTTATCATATCACTCGTTTATTGTAGTCAATCTACATTTTACTCCAGAAGAATCACAATTATCAATCAAACAAATGAATAACGATCATTAACAATATATAGTTTTCTCCTTGCGGCATATTGAGTGCCAAAACTTATATTCTTCTCTCTCATGCAACTATCAAGTTTATAAAAAAAAATTCGGTTAAATATTTTAATGCAGTTAAAATTTTAAACCCGTCCAAATATGTTATCTACGTGTACACCATTATTCTCTCAAGAAAAAATTCTCTCTGGAAGAATAAGTCCCTCTCCATTGGAGGTAGACTTACGCTCCTAAACTCAGTTCTATCTTCTATCCCTCTCTACTATATGTCCTTCTTCACACTGCTCTCTTGGGTGATCAAGGATATCGACAAACTTAGGAGAAACTTTCTTTGGAATGGTAGCCACATTCGGTCCAAATCAAAATGTCTAGTTAATTGGGCCACTGTCTGCAGGCCAAAACAAGAAGGAGGGTTGGGGGTCATAGACATCTCCTCTTTCAATATTGCTCTCCTATCCAAATGGTTTTGGAAAGCTCTCGACAGAAACTCTCTCATCAGTAAAGTCCTCTTCTCTCTTTACTCTAAAGACAATGCCAATCCCTTTGTGCATCCTCCTAATAGTTCAGCTTCTAAATTCATCCACGACTTGCACTCTATCCACTCCATTTTTTTCAGCATGGTTAGATGGCAGGTTGGAGACGGTAAAACATGTCGTTTTTGGCTCGACAAGTGGACTAACGTAAATTCTGTTGGGAATATAAGCTGTTTAGAGTATAATTAGCACAAAATGCAGTTTTAACAGAATTAGATAATGATTCAAAATAGATATAAAATTAAACTGAGTTTAGAATATAGCCTGATGGTCGAGGCGTGCAAGCACTGTCCCAAGAAACTAATTGCCCCCTCTCGTACAGGGCTACGCGGCAAAATTTCCTGGAGATACAACGACCCTCGGTCAGGCGACCTCCTTCTCGTCGGCACGAGCTTCAAGAAGGTTTTGCGAATTCTTCTAGACTTTCAGGGAACCAGCGTAAACAGAAAACTATTTTGAAAAGAGAAGGAGAGAAGAGATCTGTTGATTTTTCACTGTATGAAACTATTCGGGTTTTGGTCCTTTTATAGGGTTAAACAGCCGTTACATA